TTTTTTTAGCAATACTGAGATCATTAAGATAATTGAGGTAAAATTTCTAATACACTGCTAACCATGGGGTGGATTTGCTTAATGATAGCTATTGTTTATAACCCTTAAAAACGTACTCAAATGATGGTTTAAAAAATGGAAACAGAAGGTAAACAATTATTTCACCTTACATGTAAAATTTGTGTGGTGGCAACGATATCTGATTTATTCATACTTAAAGCATGACAAGTATATCTGTGAATATTTAACATGAAACTAATCTAAATCATCATAACCTTTTAAATGAGGTACTACTACCACTTTCATTTGTATGGATGAAGAAACTAGGATGTGGGAATTAGTAGTGAGGTGAGGAGCTGAAATTCAGGCAGCCAGACGTGGTGGTACATGCCCGTAATCCCAGCAACTCGGGAGGCTGAGGCAGGAGGATCGCTGAGTTTGAGACCAGACTGAGCTATATAGTGTGTTCCAGGTCAGTCTCACTACATAGTGAGACCCTGTCTCAACCCCTCCCCAAAAAAGTGGAACCATATTTGAACAGCTCCAGAAATTGGTCTTATTTCTGTACAATTCTCCTTCTCCTACTACAGTCTGACTTACTCCACAGAAAAAAGGCAAGACTACCACCAATTCCAGAGCTTGCTATCAAAGTCCATCACCTGAAAGGAAATGATGTAGGCTTAGTTCTCAAGTCCAAAAATTGTGGGAAATGGTTATGACTGCCTTATCTTAGTCATCCCTGAACTAATCAATTGGCCAGGGGAGACTGGGTACTAGGGCTAACCAAGCCTGTGTGAGGTGTGCCCTTTTGTCACCAGCTGTGGCCAATAGTGCAAAGTTTGTACAATATGGTAGCTTCCTTTCAAAACCTGTTGCTGGTGAAACAGATGTATTTCCTAGAAAAGGAAAACTACACTATAACTGCAAGCAACATTAACCAAATAAACCTTTTTTTTTTTTTTTTTTATGAGGGGAAGAAATTAGTTTTATCACCACAAACTAATTTTTCTCTTTTTTTTTTTGACAGGGTCTCACTATGTAGTTGAGACTGCCCTGCCCAGGCTGGTCTCGTACTCACAGTGATCCTCCTGCCTCAGCCTCCTGAGTGCTGGGATTACAGGTGTGCACCACCACGCCCAGCTCAAACTCATTTTTCATAGCATAGCGAAAGCACAGGACATGTCAAGGGATCTCGTTTCAAGATTCATTTAAGTAATATACCTTAATACCTATGACATGCCCAGCATTGTACCAATGCTTGAATGAGTAAATCACCACCCAAAGTCAAGAAACCTTTCTAAATCAATTTTTTATGAAAGGGTAATCACATAGATAAAAGAATATACGTGTATGTATACACACACATATATGTATATGTATGTATGTATATCTTTTTTTTTTTTTTTGAGACAGGATTTTGCTTTACAGTTTAGGCTGGCCTTGAACTCACTACCTAGACCAGACTGGTCTCAAATTCCCGGTGATCCTCTTGCCTTAGCGTCCTGAATGGTGGAATTACAGGTATGTGCCACCATGCCCAGCTGGATAAAATATCAAAAAAAAAGACATTTAAGAAGGAAAATGAAGTCTATTCAAAAGTCAAACCAAGGGTACAACTATTTTATTGGCCTCATGTAAAGATTATTCCATTAAACCAACATGGGTTATTTCTGATTATTAAATGTCTATCATAAACAAAATATATTTTCAAAGTTCTGTAGAGATTTAAGTAAATAGGCAAAGACTTGCATTAGTTTGGAAACACCTTTTTTGTGGTACCAGGGATTGAAATTAGGACCTAGTGCTTGCCAGACAGACACAGTGCCGCTGAGCAACATCCCTGCCGAAAACACCTTTCAAAGAAAAAGACGAGGGCTGGGAATTTAGCTCAGTGGCACTGTGCCTACCTTGCAAGTACAAGGTCCTGAGTTCAATCCCTGGCACCGCAAAAATCCTGGTACAAGGAAAAAAAAAATTGCTAACAGGACTATATTTCCATTAGTAAATACAACTATAAGGCCAGGGATTTAGCTCAGTGGTTCCACCACCAGCCTTGCAAGCACAAGGTCCTGAGTTCGATCCCCAGTACCAAAACAAACCAAAAAATACAACTATAGTTTCACTCTAATTACTTTTTAAGCTATCAGTTTTTTTATGCCATATTTGTGTCTTTCTACTTAAAGTACCTTTTGGGAATGAATTAAAAGTCTTTGCCTTCTTCAGTCTGTTCATGAACTCTGGAGGATGCTTAAAAATGTCTACAAAACCACTGTGTTTTCTGTTGGGAACAAATTTCAGAGCCTCTTCCCAATTACCAGTGTTTTTCAGACATAACAAAATACGCATCATTTGATCTAAGGTAAGATTTTTGTTACCACTATTCCACTGTAAATATTTATCTAATGGAAGGCATTCTGTTGCCAGGTTTAACCGTTTTGCTTTGGCTAGGGAGATACCTGGCTGCATTTTTTTATCAACAAATGACCCAATTATATAAATTTTGTCATGCTTGAAAGTAGTCATAATGTTGGGAGAATCTGCAGTTAAATATATGATATTATCCTTTGGAAATAAATCTACATATGACTTTTCTGTTACTGTTATGAACAATTTGTCCCATTTTGCTTTATACCTTTTAACTAACTCTATATGGTAAGCACTATCTTTTCTAAGATTGCAGAAGTAAAGATGAAAAGGGTCAACATCTCTTCTGTTACATCCTTCACTTTCTAAAAGTTGTGTAACAGTATTATGCAGTTCCCTTGGTTTCATATAATTATCATACGCCATATCAAAAACCAAAGGTTGTCCAAACTGCACAGCCTGGGCACACTTCCAATCCACTGCAATATTCTCCCTCTGGTCCCAAAATCGAAGAAATAGAAAGTCTTTCTGTTTATCTTCTTCAGTGGTTTCTAACAGGTTGTCCTTTTTTGCTTCTGCCTTTGCTGCTGCTTTCATTTCCTTTTTGTTTTGCTTAGCTCTCTTCCGATATTCTTTAATATACAAAAAATTTAAGTATTTTATTTTTGATGACTTAGAGGCACATTCCATGATGGTCTTGAGCTCTTCTTCAGTGATATGTTCTGGTACATTTTTCCCAAGCAATCTCCACATCTCAATTAATTCTCTGGTGGCAGCTAGAACATCTTCATCCTTGTTACTTGGGACTGTGGAAACAGCTGCTTCTTGCACACTAGATTTCATTGTAGTTTTCCACTCATCCAATTCTAGCTGTTTAGGAGGAGATGCACTCTCCTTATCAGGATAAGATACAAATGTTATTTTGGAAGACATATGTCTCTGCAGTATTGTTGAATATAAATTCCTTCCCTTCCTTGAAAGGGTAAATGGCACCAAAAACCTGGCAAGAGGTCTTAAGAAAGCAACACTAACATTCATTTTGAAGAAAACAGACATGTTAAAAAAAAAAAAAACTCTGTAAAAGAAGATAAATAAAATCAATTAGAAAGAGATTTTAACTTCCAAATGTAAAATTGGGCAAATACAAATTTGATACCAAATGCAACTGATTTGTGAAACACAAAGCTTATGATCACTCCCTAGGCAAAAAATTTAAAACTTATTTGGATTCTTATTTTAGACATTAATTTCATTACAGCTTTAGCCAAAATGATCTCTTGAAGATCCTTTTAGATTTGTATGTAGAGGACCATGGAATTAATATTATTGGATAACAAGGCCTGGGATTTAGCTCAGTGGTTCTGCTGCTTCGCAAGTGCAAGGTCCCGAGTTCAATCTCCGGTACCAAAAAAAAAAAAAAAAAATTACTGGATAACAAAGTTATATATGACTGATATATAGCTGAGATTGTGATGTTACAGTCTCCTCCAGATACAGAGCCAAACTTAAGATCCTAAAAAAGAGAACACAAGAAGACAACAGAAGAGTGATAGAAGATTGTAAGATAGTAAAAAGCACTTAAAAGCTGCTGTAACAATGCCTCTGTGTCTTCAAATATAAATACAGCACACACAGATATACTGATTAAAAAGCAACAACACAACTACATAGTGAGACTGTCTCAAAGTGGGAAAAAAAAAACCCATCGACAAACTCTTCCAGCTCAGACTTAAAAGGATATGAAATCATCAAACAAAATGTCCCAAACTAGGACAAACATATAAAGCTCTACCATTTTACCCTAAAGAAATGAATGCCCACAAGATGAAAATGCTTTACTGTGAAACTAGCATCAATTTCAGTGAAAAAAATTTAAAAATTTTACAAAATACAAACAAAAAAATGTGAAAACATTTTTCCTTTCCCTTGGTTTATTTTTCTTTGGTACCAGGGATTGAACTCAGGACCTTGTGCTTGCAAGGTAGACACGGTGCCATTTACCTAAATTCCCAGCCCTTCTCTTGGTTTTATTGAACGACCTTGCAAGATCCTCTATTTTCTGCTTCTATGGCCTGAAGACTGATGGCAGTATTCCCCACGCTTTACTTTTTGGTACCAGGGATCCAACTCTGGACCTTGTGCTTATGAGGCAGGTGGCGGCACCACTGAGCTAAATCCCCAGCCTTCCACGCCTTTCTTTTAAAGGTAAATAAAATAAAATAAAATAAAATAAAATAAAATAAAAGGTAAAATTTTTCAATCTATTTCCTCATGAGATCTGATATATTCCCATAGCTTTCATTACTAACACCTGAAAGATACCTCCAATGTAACAAATTACTCCTTTTCAACCTGCTTCTCCTCCTGTGTTAAATTGCAGGGATGGACACTGCTCTCAAACCAGGTGCTAGAGCTATAAACAGGGTCATTTCATCGCTGTTTTGTCACAACTATACCTAATCCATTTGTTACAGTCACTCTACTTTTTGAATACTTTTGACTCTATTCACCTCTTTTTAACCTGTTTTCTTTCTTTTAATTTTTTGTAGTGTTTGGGATCAATCTGAAGACCTTGTGCATGCTAGGCAAATGTTCTATCACTGAGGTATATATTTCCATATATCCCAAGCTATTCTTCACCTTGAACTTTATTGTTTGTAATACTGGGGATTGAACACAAGGCCTGCACACCTAGCTACACCTCCAGCACCCTCCCTCCTTTAAAATAATTTTATTTTGAGACAGCTTTCACTAAGTTGTTCAGGCTGGGTTTACACTTTTGATCTTCCTGCTTCAGCCTCGTAGAGTGCTGAGATTATGGCATGTGCCACCATGCCTGGCTTCAAGTCATAATTTACAGCAAGTATGCCTCCTGTCTATTCTCATAGCCCCTTGTGCCTGTGATGGTAGTTTTAACACCGTACTGTAATCATCTAGTGCCTATTTATCCACTAAATGATAAGGATTTTCTCTTCCATAAGGAAAAATGTGTCTATACTGTTACCATTGAAGCTAATATTTGGCCATATTTGCCTTACAATAAAACCCGTCTTAATAAATAGCCTAGATTGAGATTTCTTACATTTAAAAAATGTTCAGAAATTTCTTTAAAGAAAAACTTGCTTTAGGGACGGGGATTTAGCTCAATGGTTCCGCCGCCTGCCTCACAAGCACAAGGACCTGAGTTCGAGCCCCGGTACCAAAAAAAAAAAAACCAAAAAACAAAAAACCCCAACAACAAAAAAATTACTTTAAACTCCCCACAATATATGACCTGGTGTTCTTTTAATAATAAATACTAACTGCAGAAAGTCTTTTGAATTTTGTCTTTGTAAACAGTACACTTCCAGAATGTCGGAGAAACAAGGGCCTAAATTTTATTTTTGCCGTATTGGGGATCGAACCCAGGAGTATATTACCTTGAGTTACACCACATGCCCTTTTACCTATTTTAAAATTTGAGACAGGATTTCACTAAGTTGCCCATGCTAGTCTCGAACTCTCGATCCTCCTGCTTCAGCCTCCCTAGTACTGGAATTACAGGCATAAACAGCTAAATTTTATAAATGATCAAGGATATAACTTTTGGAAACACTGTTCTTGTTTCAGGTCCTGCACTAGTAAGTGTATTTAATCACTGAGTTCCGTCTTATCTTCGGCGTTCTTAGAGCACATGCGCTTACGTGCACTTGGAATGTCGCATCCTCCCCGCAAAAAACACACTAGGAGAAAGAAACATGCGTTTACCAGAAGCTCAGGGACAGCAACTACCGCAGGCTCAAGGTGCAGGAACTGCAGTGGCTGACGATTTGCCTGAAAAGCCGCTCAGAACCAGGAGCTGCAGCTGACCGCGGGCTTTCCAGTTCTTCGCTGCAGGAGTCTCCTCCTTAAAACGGAAAGTTCCTGAGGCGCTGCAGGAAGTACAGCCTTCTCCGTCCGGTGCTGCCTTATGACGTCACGCAAGGCGCGGAAAACCTTCCGGTGGCGAGCAAGCAAGTCTTGGCTCCAAAAAAGAAAAGCTGGGCATTGTGGTGCACTCCTGTAGTTCCAGTACTCGGGGAGCGGAGGAAGGAGGATTGCTGGGAGTTCGAGATCATCCTGGGCTACATAGTGAGTTCCAGTTCAGTCTCAACTACATAGTGTGGCCCTGTCTCAAAAAAAAAAGAAAAGTTTAAAAACTCTTCTCTCAACGTTCTTTCTTCTTAGACTGTGTGTACTCATTAAAATTAATTTTTTTTTTTTTGAGATAGGGTCTTGCTATGTAGTCCAGGCTTACCTGAACTCACTATGTAGCCCAAGCTGAGCTCGACTCGCAGCGAGTCTCCTATCTCAGCTTCCGGAGTACAAGGATTACAGGAGTTTGCCACCACACTTGGCAAAACAAAATTATGAGAAAATTATTTGCAAGTTAACGTGTCTTACAACTTTGCTTTAAATCTCTTGGCATTAAGAATTTAACTTTTGCTGGGCGTGGTGGCGCACGCCTGTAATTCCAGCACTTGGGAGGCTGAGGCAGGAGGATCGCTGTGAGTTCGAGACCAGCCTGGGCTACATAGTGAGTTCCAGATCAGTAGATCAGTTTCAACTACATAGTGAGACCCTGTCCAAAAAAAAAAGGAAAAAACCAAAAAAAAAAAATCCTGTTTAACTTTTTTTTTCCTCTCTCTTTTATTTTCTTTCTTTGCTAAATCTTGCTATATATCTGTGTTGTTGGGGCTGGCCTTGAACTGGTCATCTCACCACAGCCTCTTTAATAGCAAGAATTCTGCCCATGCACCAGTGGCTCAGGTGGAAGTCAGTCTTTTCAACAAATCCTGCTGAAATGTATGTTTACATGAAAAGACTAAAGTTGGGCCTTTACCATGTATGAAAATTGATCGAAGACTTAAATGTAAGAGTACAGTTAACTGTACAACAAGGAAAAATTTTATGGTAGCAGATTTGGCAATTTCATGGATAACACAAAGCAACAAAACAAAACAGGCAAATTGTACTTCATAAAAATTAAGAACTTGTGCATAAAATGATAATATCAATACACTCAACAGGCTTAGAGAGGGAGAAAGTATTTGCAAATCACACATTGGTCAAGAGGGCTGGGAATTTAGCTCAGTGGTTCTGCTGCCTGCCTTGCAAGCACAAGGACCCGAGTTCAATCCCCAGTACCAAAACAACAACAACAAAAAAACCATATCGGTCAAGGGATTAATGTAGAAAGAACTAAAACTCAACAAAAAATCAAATAACCCAATTCAAAAGTAAGCAGAGCTATACATGGTGACTCATTCCTGTAATTCGAGCACTTAGCAAGCTGAGGCAGGAGAATGACCATCAATTTGAGGCCAGCTTGGGCTACATAGTGAGTTCAAGGGCAGCCTGAACTACATAGTGAGACCCCATCTCAAAACAAAAAAGCAAGCAAAACTTCTGTGTGTGTGTGTGTGTGTGTTTTACTGGGGAATGAATGTAGGGTGTTTGTACTGGGCCACATTCTACCCTACCTTGTTTTTTTTTTTTTTTTTTTTTGTTTTAAAATTTTGAGAAGATGTCCAGAAGTTGTACAGATTGAGCTTGAATTGGTGAGCCTCTTGCTTAAGCATCTCAGAATGCTGAGATTAGAGGCATGCACCACCACATCCCACAGAAGAATTTGAATAAACATTTCTTCAAATTGCCAGTAAACACGTAAAAGCTATTCACTGCTTATTGATCTAAGAGGGCTCTCTGTGGTGCACATCTCTGTCCTGCCTGTGCAGCAAAGGACCTATTTAAATAAACCCTCACTTCCATGCTGGTGGCCCTATTTTTGTAAGAAAAGATATTCACTGTCATCATTTTGGACATACAAATTAAAACCACAATGAACTACCCCTTCACATCTATTGGAGTGACATTTTGGGGTTTTTTGTTTTGTTTTGTTTTGATTTGTTTTTTGAGACAAGGTCTCACTTTGTAGTGCAGGCTGGCCTTGAACTTACCATGTAGCCCAGGCTGGCCTCAAACTCATGGGAGTCCTCCTGCCTTAGCCTCCCAACTGCTGGGATTATAGGTGTGTAGCACCACCTTATTGAAGTGACTATTAAAAAAAAAAAAGCTGGTAGTACAGCTCAGTGGTAGAGTGCTTCCTTAGCATGCATGATACCCTGTATTTGATCATCAGCACTACAAAAAACAGACTAACAAACTGGAAAAAAATATGTTTTGGCAAGAACTTGGAGAAATTCGAACCCTGCGCATGGCTGGTGGAAATGTAAAATGATGCAACTGTTTTGTGAAAGACAGGCTAGTGGTTCCTCAAAAAGCCAGTTATAGAATGAACATATTATTTAGCGATTCTACTCATAGGTACTACCTTTCAAGTATGAGACTTGAAAGTAGGGCCATAGATGCCTGTATTCCTTTGTCCATTGCATCATTATTGATAATAACCTAAAAGGAAGGGAAGCAATTCAAGTCCTTATGAACAGATGGCAAGCAAAATATAGTGAAAGTATACAAGGATGTAGTCCTGACTTATTGTACAAATAAATGAACTTTGGGAATTAAACAAACCAGGCACAAAAGAACAAATATTATGAGTCTGCCTATATAAAGCGTCTACAATAAATCATAGAGATAGGAGTAGACTAGTGGTTACCAGTGGGTAGGGAAAGAAAGGAATGGGAAATTGTTGTTTAATGGGTGTGGAATTTCAATATGAGAGGATTGTAAAGTTCTAGAGATGAAATAGTAATAATAGTTGTACAACAATGGAAATGTATTTACTGCCGCTGAACTGCACACTTGTAAAGGATTAAAATTCAAAAGTTCACAATATATGCACATATATATTTGGGGTAGGACCTCACACATGTTAGGCATGTGCTGTACTCATGAGCCCTAGATAGTACATAGATGGATAGATAGCTAGATAGATGGATGTAGATATTGGAGGAAGTAGGGTGCTACCATCTTAACCAAGCTTAACCAGTTCAAGCTTCCCTCTCTCAAGCTGCTTTTCCCAGAATAGACCATCTCCAGTCTCCAGAACACTCTCCCAAACAGCCCCACCTCAAAGCCCCGCTGCAACAGAGATGGCTTCGTAACTCACTGCCTCGATATCATCGTTTCCAAAGCAGCCTGGCCACAACTGCAGTGGTTCAGTAGTCACAGACTCTAATGCAGCTACAAACTTTTCCTCTTACAGCTCCATAGAAGTGCAGAGTGCGTAAAAGATGATTCCACATTGCTCTGCCATTGGCTTTTCTCACATTTTAGACCCATTAACCTTGGGAACTCTGCTCCTTTTTCCTAACAGATATGACTACAATAAAAAACATGAGGGAAAAAAGCAATAGGTTATGAGCCACAGCACAGTATTTTCCAAATGATTTCCAAAAAGAGATATTGTGTGAAAGTCGAGTTAGTATCATGTTAGAGAAATGAGACAGGAATTGGTGCTGTCACCTGCCTCCCAAGTACAAGTTCCTGAGTTTGATCGTTGGTACCAAAAAAAAAAAAAAAAAAAAA